AAGAGAGCAGTAGAGTTATGAAGAGAGTCAAAACGAATCAAGAGAGCAGTAGAGTTTCTCCCCCCCCCTGGGGGGGAGAACCTTCCCCCAGTCTCTTGGCCCTTAGAGTGAAGGGCCAAGAGACTGGGGGAAGGGATGGGAAGAAGGATTGGGGGATGATGGGAGAGGAGACACAGGAGACATGGCGGACTGTGTAGGAAGGGGGGAAACTCCAGATGGAGACCCTTTAGGACAAAATGTAAAGGAACAGGGGAGGAGGCGGTGGGCGTGTCCGGGTCCAAGGCCTGGAAACGTTTGAGTGACTGAGGAAGGTGGGAAGGATGAGGAGAGATAAAACGCAACACGCGAGCATAAGATATGTCAGTGAAAACGTGGAGATGGCGGACTTGGCGTCTCGCTTCAGGAAAAGTTAAATGAGCCCAGTGTTTCAAGTTGAGGACGGCTTCCTCAAGCTTGTAGTGTATACACGTGCGGGAGAAGGTAGGGTGGGCCTCACGGCAATTGAGGCAGTGAGCCTGGGGAGAATAGCAATATGTCTTAGAGTAGTCATCGCCCCCACTCATGGGGGTATACAGAGACAAGACTTGAGCATTTGAGGGCACCGTGCCCGAACTTCCAGCACGTATTACAAAGCCTAAGAGAGGGGATGTACTCCTGAACAGAGCACCTGGCACCAGCAAGAATGATAGAGGGCGGAAGGGCCCTACTATCGAAGGTGATTTTCACAACTCGAAGGGGCTGATAACGACGACCACGAGAGGGTCGAGTGAACGTGTCCACCTGGAGGACAGGATGGCCTTGGGCTTCGAGGATATGCTTAATATCCTCATGGCAGTCTTTCAGGTCCCAAACACCAGTTGCAACATGGCGCAGGAGGAGAACAGTGCCAACACTGGCACTTAACCGAGCGTTTTTTGAGACCCAAACAGGAGTCTCCCCAATGCAGGACAATGCGGCTAAGCGGGTATCTGCAAGCTGAGAAGGAGCAGCGACGACACATGTACCGAATCGGGTGGGGTTGAAAGTAACAGAGGCATCTACCGAATCAACAAGGTGTTTATGGAGGGAGAAATCGTCAGGAGGTGTAGTCTCCAGATGGAGGAGATCAAAGTACTTAGCTCATGAAGCAGGACCAAACAAGACGTTGTACATATTAGTATGGGAAGGGATCATGCGGTTGTGGCGGGGATAGCGTTGAGAACCCCCAGAAAGAGAGGGGTTAAAAGGCGAAGTAGTACAATGAGAGATGGAGCCGTGCCAGGGGACGAGGTGGTCACCGCTGGGGGCTCGACCCAACCACAGAGGAGGGAGGGGAGCCGAGGGGAGTAGTCAGGAGGGTCAAAAGAGGAGCTAGATCTGGGCTCACTGTAGCGGGGGCTACAGAGCCCGGCCTTCCAACATAGTCTGACTCGGGGGCTTGTTCGCCCACCCCATGAGCCTGAGAAGTCATAAGAGGAGCAGTATTCAGGGACATGAAAACGAGAGGTAATACTTTCATTCACGAATGTGCCCCCGCACCCACCACGGAGCCACAATTAGAGGATAGGACACCCAACAAGAGACACGTTGCCAGTCTTGCCGGGGCCCCTTCAGGGATGCGTCGTGAGTATACGCCCCACAAACGCCACTTTAAGAACCGTCAGTCTATCGAGATCAGGTTCAATGACGAAAGAAGTATTGACAATAAAAGCGTCCCTCGCTCGCGACCTCGGGTACCACAGTTCTATGGGTGAGAGAGTATGTCTCCCCAAACACCCGGGCATCAAAACAGAAAAGAAGTCCGAAAGAATAATCAAATGTACAAATGAGAAAATGTACTGGAGTAAGCACAGTACCCTGGGGGACTGTGCCTTTGATGCTGGATGATAAGGATTATACAGTGTTGACTATTACACTCTGGGTTCTTTTCGTTAGGAAATAAAAAGATTCATCTTCCTGTTTTTCAAGTAATTCATTTTGTGCAGATTTTGTTTGCAACAATACCATGATCACATTTGTCGTTATTTGGAAGATAGTTGCAATGATGAGAATGATCGTGTACAGTGTAGATGGCTAGAGAGGTAGATAGTGTGTAGTAAACATGGTTACAGTGAAGTTGATAGAGCCTAGTGTAGATGGTTACAGTGAAGATTGTAGTGTGTCGGGAAGATGGTTATAGTGATGAAACCAGTGTGCAGGGAAGCTGTGGCTTGTGTCCCGGGCAACGCCGGGTACCTCCCTCTGTAGTGTGCTATACTGCCATATTGTCTCAGCGTTTTCTCATGATTTCCTTAGAGCAAGCAGCGAGGGGTAACACGGAAGTAGTGAGGTGGTGACGGGCCACCTCATTACCTCCTCACTACCAGGTGAGTTACAGTCCATATACACCGCGCTGATCACGTCGGAGGGCAGTTATATGCGAGTCCCAGGTGGCAGAGGCCCAGATGGGCGGGCCAGGTGGGCGGGTCTGATGGGGGGGAGGAGGGTCAGGTGGGTCGGGCCAGGTGGGCGGGCCTGATGGGGGAGGGGGGCTGGTGGGTAGGGCAGGTGGCCAAGCCAGGTGGTAGCAAGGGTCAGGTGGCCGGGGGCAGGACCTGGACACGTCCATTAGTTAATGGGGATGAGGAAGTGAGACGTGAGCCTGATGTATACGTGACAGCCTCATCGGCCACGACACTCACCCGTCCTCACACAGTCCTCACACCGCGGTGGACCACCTCACACCGCGGTGGACGTCCTCACACCACGATGGACCGCTAGGCTCAGTGAGGTTAAGCGCTGCTCGGTCACCCATCACTCACCAAATCAAATTCCAATAAGAAAAATTTCCCATTAAATCCAGTAGAAGGCAGTACTGGGGCTCACTATATCACTGTTAACTTGTTATAAATAAACCATAGACTAATTGATGTTCAAAACAAACCTGAAGCTCCAAGTCACTGATAAAAACGGAGATATTTTGGAGCGAGTTGGAACCACACAATCCAGGCCAGTACGGCTTTATACCTTGCAAGACGACTATGGCTCTTGCAATGACACCATCACATGCAACAAAACACAGATAATACAAAGACAAAAATAAAATGGTGATGTATAAATGTCTTTTTCAAATTCATTAGTGAGTGTATAATGATTCTACCGGTCGTCTACAGCACCGGCACTGATCACCGCCAGGGTGAGGCAGCCAATGGAAGGCAACCCAAAAGATGTCTTAAATTATTTTTTTTCAAATTCAAACAAACAAATATGTTCTGCCTTCACATTGACCGCGAGATGAGGAGAGGCAGACAGAAGATGAGGAAGTGAAGGAGAGGAAGTGAAGGAGAGGAAGGGAAGGAGAGGAAGTGAATAATTAGCGGTGAATGGGACCAACGGACGACATTCAAGAGCAAACCTTTTTCACGACAAAATCTAGCGGGAAATCCATCAAAGAAAACGGAACATAAGGAACTATGCTGACTTGAAAACCAGTCAGTCTTAACCTGAGGTATATTTGGGTATGTCGTCCAGGGACCAAATTACGATATAATTTGTAAATATGTTTAAGAAACTTTAATTTTTTTTAAGTATCTGGACTTGTTTTTTGACCCTTTAATGGTACTTTTTTTGTCCTAGCTACTGGTTGTGGCCAGGACAAGCACAGAGAGAAAACGAGTTATGGCGGGAGTGAGAGGCCAGCAGTGGTGCCAGTTCTTCCTTGCGTTTTGAAGGGTTTCGAGTCCTCTACTTGGATAATTCCCAAGAGAAGTGGATTACTCTGAGTAGGATTAGTAGTAGCAGTAGAAGGATTATTATATAATCATGACAGGTGATTGCTGGGTTAATATGTGTTGAAACTTTAAAAGGTTATGTGTAAGAAAAAAAAAGCGTGTTTGCAGCTGTCACTTAGGAGATGTGTCAACAAACTGAGTAAGGGATATACTGGGAGGCTCCACCCAAGTCATATATATACATCCCATCAACACACTTTATGGTTTACAATGATTTGCTGCTTGTGTTATTTTCTTTTTTTATATGTTATAACTGAAATCTATTAATGCTATTATTAAGAGAGGGAACAGTTCTGTCGCACACCAAGGGTAACCACTTGGGGTGGACGATAGAGCGACGGTCTCGCTTCATGCAGGTCGGCGTTCAATCCCCGACCGTCCAAATAATTTGGCACCATTCTTTACCCCCCGACCCAATCCAAATCCTTAACCTGAACCCTTCCAAGTGCTGTATAGTCGTAACGGCTTGGCGCTTTATCCTGATAGATCACCAGAAGTAACCCAGCGTATGACTGTGTGTTCTTGCCAAGTGTTAATGCACTCATAGTCCATGTGTAGTTGTGCATCAGTTACGTGAACTATATGTATCATGGTGCGAATACATATTTATGTAGAGTGTTTGAGGTGATTAGGTAGAACCACAGAACAAATCCATAAGGGCTGTGACGAGGATAAGCGTTAGTGTGATCTCTGTGTGTATAACCACAGGTTTATGACGCTGATCTAGACTGAGATAACTGGCAGGGTTACACTTGGCATTGACTGTGACCTGACGTGTCTTGCTGCCATAGTTTGGGTAAGTCAGTGTAGTTTCACCAGTAACAATAGTAGTTCTCTTATGGCATATACTGTTTAGTTTCAGAGTGGTTTAGTACCCATGTCTCTCTCTAGGTCTATCCCTACACGGTAGAGGAAGATCTATTGCTATTGTACCCAGCAACAGGCTGGATACAGTAGCCGGGAGGGCCTAGCCTTGGCGAGAGATTTTTCACTGTGTTAACTAAATCAATCCCAACAGATGAGGTATTCGCCTTAACCCACACTGACCTCGTGACCCACTGACCTCGTGACCCACTGACCTCGTGACCCACTGACCTCGTGACCCACTGACCTCGTGACCCACTGACCCCGTGACCCACTGACCTCGTGACCCACTGACCCCGTGACCCACTGACCTCGTGACCCACTGACCCCTAGACAATATGCTGACCTGGCGCTGACCCCAGGGGTTGACCCCAAGTGGGTACTCACGGTAATTCTCTTTGTTGGAGATGTAGGTGACCCCACAGAGCGTGGCGAGCTCCGTCAGGTTGAGGTAGAAGGCTGCGGCGACCAGGGTGAGGTAGGCTGGGCGGCGGGCGGCGGGGACGTGGGCGGCCAGGCCCGTGTAGTAGGCCCGGGCCACCCAGGCCACCAGCAGCCTGGGGGAGATGTGGAGAGCCACGGCCACCCTCCACAGGTACCGCTGAGGGGACACGCCCGTCACCGCACTGATGCTCGGCAGGAAGTTGTACACCTGTGGGAGCAACACTAGAGTCAGTACACCTGTGGGAGCAACACTAGAGTCAGTACACCTGTGGGAGCAACACACGAGTCAGTACACCTGTGGGAGCAACACAAGAGTCAGTACACCTGTGGGAGCAACACAAGAGTCAGTACACCTATGGGAGCAACACAAGAGTCAGTACACCTGTGGGAGCAACACAAGAGTCAGTACACCTGTGGGAGCAACACTAGAGTCAATACACCTGTGGGAGCAACACTAGAGTCAGTACACCTGTGGGAGCAACACTAGAGTCAGTACACCTGTGGGAGCAACACTAGAGTCAGTACACCTGTGGGAGCAACACAAGAGTCAGTACACCTGTGGGAGCAACACTAGAGTCAGTACACCTGTGGGAGCAACACAAGAGTCAGTACACCTGTCAGTATAACACAAGACTCAGTACCTTGTACACCTGTCAGTATAACACAAGACTCAGTACCTTGTACACCTGTCAGTATAACACAAGAGTCAGTACCTTGTACACCTGTCAGTATAACACAAGAGTCAGTACCTTGTACACCTGTCAGTATAACACAAGACTCAGTACCTTGTACACTTGTCAGTATAACACAAGACTCAGTACCTTGTACACTTGTCAGTATAACACAAGACTCAGTACCTTGTACACTTGTCAGTATAACACAAGACTCAGTACCTTGTACACCTGTCAGTATAACACAAGACTCAGTACCTTGTACACTTGTCAGTATAACACAAGAGTCAGTACCTTGTACACCTGTCAGTATAACACAAGAGTCAGTACTTTGTACACCTGTCAGTATAACACAAGACTCAGTACCTTGTACACCTGTCAGTATAACACAAGAGTCAGTACCTTGTACACCTGTCAGTATAACACAAGAGTCAGTACCTTGTACACCTGTCAGTATAACACAAGAGTCAGTACCTTGTACACCTGTCAGTATGACACAAGACTCAGTACCTTGTACACCTGTCAGTATAACACAAGAGTCAGTACCTTGTACACCTGTCAGTATAACACAAGAGTCAGTACCTTGTACACCTGAAGATATCTGGTAAGTTTAATAGTAATTCCTAAGATCAGAATCTACCAATCTTTTAGTCATTTCAAAATTTTAAGTTTACCTTATACAATTTTTTTATTTTTATTCAAATTTCACTGAGGCAAACCACAGCAGAGTGAGGCTGGGACTGGCTGTGCCTCAGTCTGCTGTGAGAAGTGTGGCGTGAGGTCACCACGGGCCTCTTCACTCCTCATGTGGCTCTGGTGAGCACAGTTACACCGGACAGTTCTGTCACCACCAACACCACGGCTATCATCACCACCACCACCACCACCACCAGCACCACCACCCCCACCACCACCCCCACCACCCCCACTACCACCCCCACCACCACCCCCACCACCACCCCCACCACCACCACCACCAGCACCACCACCACCAGCACCACCACCACCACCACCAGCACCACCACCACCACCCCCACCACCACCACCACCACCACCACCACCCCCACCACCACCACCACCACCAGCACCACCACCACCACCAACACCACCACCACCCCCACCACCACCCCCACCACCACCCCCACCACCACCGAGTCTATTCCCTCCACAATACCGGGAATGATATAGTCTCCCCCTTGGTTCAGAATATTATCATTAAAGGTTAGGGGGAAATATCAGAGCAATAAGCGAGTAGTAATGGCCATTTTCCATTCGTTCAAGGAGCTTGTGCGGGTGTTGTCCCAGAGGCTCCGACAACGTGGTGATGGGCCCGAGAGTGAGAAGACCACAGAGTGACGGGCAGCAGCTTCCTGTACCAGAACACGGGAAGAACTAGGAAGTGAACACATCACCAGATCAAAAACAAGATGCACGAATATCACACAATAACATCAGCAGCATATGCCAATCTGGTCAACGTTTAAATAGCCTTCAGGATCCTATACAAAGGATCAACCCCAAATACCCTATACAACCTACGTTAGACCGGTTCTTGGGGTTGCAGCCCCAGCATATAACACTCACCTAATACAGTACACAACAAATCTAGAAAGGTAGAAAAATCTGCAATGCGACTCGTTCCTGAACCAAGAGGACGGAGCTACGAGGAAAGCCTGAGAGAACTGGATATTACCTCACTGGAGGAAAGTAGGAACTGAAGAGTAAATGATAACGACATGAAAGATTATCAAGGCAATTATCCAGATAGACAAAGAAGCAATGATCAAAGAGAGGGGGAACGTAGAACCATGAGACATGAATAGAATCTAGAGACATAAATGAATCACACAAGTGTCAGAAATTACATCAATGTGAGAGTTGTAAATAGAAGGAAAAAGTTAGATGAAGTAGTCAAAGGCTCGAAGCTAATTTAATATAAAAATCTAATTGCAAACAGGATTGAAAACAACTAAAATATTTAACCATTAACAGTTCAAAAGGCTGGACTGATTAGCTGACGCTCAACCTAAAATTTAGATGAGTACTTTTGAGTACACACATGACAGTGTCAGTGGTGTATGTGGTACTGACAAGTACACACACACATGACTGTGTCCGAGGTGTATGTGGAGCTGACAAGTACACACACACATGACAGTGTCAGTGGTGTATGTGGTACTGACAAGTACACACACACATGACAGCGTCAGTGGTGTATGTGGTACTGACAAGTACACACACACATGACAGTGTCAGTGGTGTATGTGGAGCTGACAAGTACACACACACATGACAGTGTCAGTGGTGTATGTGGAGCTGACAAGTACACACACACATGACAGTGTCAGTGGTGTATGTGGAGCTGACAAGTACACACACGGACATTATAAACGGAAACAAACATATCGTCCCGGTAGGGATGACTCTGCAGACGTATAGCGAGCCCAGACCTCACACCATCTACAGCCTACATCTTAAGGAAGTCCAAAGATTCGTCCCATAAGACTGGTATCATATACAAAGGAGCTGAATCTAAGGGAACCCAAACTTCATAGGAAAGAATGAAAGGAGACCTGATCATGCCGTAAATGACTGTGAGTAGGAGAGAGACAAGAGGATATAGAGGGAGCACAAGAGGTGGAGACGCGGCACGGTAGAGGGGTGGTGGTAGAGGCCATCTCCCTCCACAGCTTTAAGAGAAGAGAAGACAAACACGAGGCAGGAGGGCCCCACCTCACACTCCTCGCGCCAACACGGCAAAGATCACAGGCAAAACTTTACAAAGTTGGCATAAACTGCCGCAAACTGTGACGCTTGCAGTATGGTAATTGGTTATGACGTTACTACTCCAGGCAACGAGTTTGTACTCGTTTGTACTCGAGTCATTAGTGGTATAATACTGCAGTTTGTGTACTGCAACTTGAACTGAACAGAGTGAACACTTAGCGTTCACCTTGTTCAGACAGGACACTTGGTTCAGCTTATTCAGGTCCTATAGAATAACTACGAATGACTTCCCACAACCGTTGAGTAATTCTCTGGTAACTTGTGTGCTATCAGGTGAACAGGGGATCAGGTGGAAGGTAATGAGACCAACCATGTCTCTCCCGGGAATCAAACCCGAGGTCCTGGATTTGTGGGTCGAGGGTCCACTTGTCACAGGTACTGTCCACCACTTGTCACAGTTACTGTCCACCACTTGTCACAGTTACTGTCCACCACTTGTCACAGGTACTGTCCACCACTTGTCACAGTTACTGTCCACCACTTGTCACAGTTACTGTCCACCACTTGTCACAGTTACTGTCCACCACTTGTCACAGGTACTGTCCACCACTTGTCACAGTTACTGTCCACCACTTGTCACAGTTACTGTCCACCACTTGTCACAGTTACTGTCCACCACTTGTCACAGTTACTGTCCACCACTTGTCACAGGTACTGTCCACCACTTGTCACAGTTACTGTCCACCACTTGTCACAGGTACTGTCCACCACTTGTCACAGGTACTGTCCACCACTTGTCACAGTTACTGTCCACCACTTGTCACAGGTACTGTCCACCACTTGTCACAGTTACTGTCCACCACTTGTCACTGTTACTGTCCACCACTTGTCACAGGTACTGTCCACCACTTGTCACAGGTACTGTCCACCACTTGTCACAGGTACTGTCCACCACTTGTCACAGGTACTGTCCACCACTTGTCACAGTTACTGTCCACCACTTGTCACTGTTACTGTCCACCACTTGTCACTGTTACTGTCCACCACTTGTCACAGGTACTGTCCACCACTTGTCACTGTTACTGTCCACCACTTGTCACAGTTACTGTCCTCCACTTGTCACTGTTACTGTCCACCACTTGTCACAGGTACTGTCCACCACTTGTCACAGTTACTGTCCACCACTTGTCACAGTTACTGTCCACCACTTGTCACTGTTACTGTCCACCACTTGTCACTGTTACTGTCCATCACTTGTCACTGTTACTGTCCACCACTTGTCACAGGTACTGTCCACCACTTGTCACAGGTACTGTCCACCACTTGTCACAGTTACTGTCCACCACTTGTCACTGTTACTGTCCACCACTTGTCTCTGTTACTGTCCATCACTTGTCACAGGTACTGTCCACCACTTGTCTCTGTTACTGTCCATCACTTGTCACCTGTTACTGTCCACTTGTCACTACTGTCCACCACTTGTCACTGTTACTGTCCACCACTTGTCACAGTTACTGTCCACCACTTGTCACTGTTACTGTCCACCACTTGTCACAGGTACTGTCCACCATTTGTCACAGTTACTGTCCACCACTTGTCACAGTTACTGTCCACCACTTGTCACTGTTACTGTCCACCACTTGTCACTGTTACTGTCCACCACTTGTCACTGTTACTGTCCACCACTTGTCACAGGTACTGTCCACCACTTGTCACAGGTACTGTCCACCACTTGTCACAGTTACTGTCCACCACTTGTCACTGTTACTGTCAACCACTTGTCACAGGTACTGTCCACCACTTGTCACAG